CAGCCTGATTGGAGACGTGAACATCACTTGCAACCTTGATAGTCTGGAACATGAAGAAAAGTTGGAGATTTGTCTTTCTTCAATAGATATTTTCACGGGAAGTGTTCAAGTGACTTAACACATTTGATTCCACCAGGAGCGGTACATATCAGAAATACGCAAGGGGCTGTGGCCTCTCATTTTTATAAGGTTCAACTCAGTACACCTCGAACTTCACTGTTCAAAAACTCTTTCATTTGGAAAACTGCGTTCATTTGGAATGAACTTTCTGAGAACGTTTTACCAAATGGATTCAATCTCCAGCGATTCAAATCCAATGTAAATCACTACTATCACATAGGCATCGCTATCAAAAATAGTTTGTCGATGAAAATTTCAGAGTATATTCTTCGAAAGTATATCTATCGACGTGCTCAAACAGATTTGCGTAACATACGTTCCTAGGGTGCGAAAAAAAAAAGTTCCGTATATTCGGAACTGAATTACTCAATAAAGTCAAATTTCTCACTTATCAAAAATTGTTTGTTGATGAAAATTTCAGAATATATTATTCGAAAGTATATCTAACGACGTGCTCAAACAAATTTGCGTACCATACGTTCCTTCGGTGCAAAAAAGTAGTTCCGTATATTCGGAACTGAATTACTCATAAAAATCAAATTTCTCACTTATCAAAAATAGTTTGTCGATAAAAGTTTCAGAATATATTCTTCGAAAGTATATCTATCGAAGTGCTCAAACAAATTTGCGTACCATACGTTCTTTCGGTGCGAAAAGAAAAGTTTCGTATATTCGGAACAGAATTACTCATAAAAGTCAAATTTCTTACTCATCAACTATTTTTTTTCGCATCGATGAACTATTTTTGATAAGTGAGAAATTTGACTTTTATCAGTAATTCAGTTCCGAATATACGGAACTTTTTTTTTTCGCACCGAAGGAACGTATGCTACACAAATCTGTTTGAACACGTCGATAGATATACTTTCGAAGAATATATTCTGGAATTTTCATCGACAAACTACTTTTGATAAGTGAGAAATTTCACTTTTCTGAATAATTAAGTTCCGAATATACGGAACTATTTTCTTTCGCACCCAAGGAAAGTATGGTACGCAAATCTGTTTGGGCACGTCGATAGATGTACTGATATTCTGATATTTTAATTAACAAACTATTTTTTATTAGTCAGAAATTTGACTTTTTTGAGTAANAAACTATACAGAAAATTTTATGAGACATCGTCATCTAGAATAAAAAAGGATTTGTGAAAACTACTCAATAATTATCATGTATAGCGTTATTAATTTTCATTAAGAAACTGGTCAATGCATTCAAACCATCAATTATACTTCATTTCAATCTTGACGTTGATCATTTAGTATAAAGACCTACATTCTCGAATTTTGTCCAGACTGTGCGAAGTATTTCGACAAACTCGAAGTGAGATTTCTGGTCTACATATTTGGGTGGAGTCTCTAATAACAGATATTGGCTAGTTAGTTGTCATTCTGCGATTTTGACTCTTTTGTCGAATATTCATAATTTAATTTTCTTCCTCAGTTAGATCTTTTGTTGGGTTATAGTTACAAGAAAAGTTCAAGACTGGCTATCACATCACCAATTGGTCTGGTTGATGAAGACTTGACTTCACATCTACTTCAAAAAACGTTTCCAATCCAACGTTTGAGTTCAAGAACCATGTTGAGTTAGTCTCATGAAGACTCTTTAATCATATGAAAGAAGCATGCATTAGATTCGCATGGGATTAACGATCTGCACCAATTATCATAAATATATTTACTAATTATGATAGTTCGTATTGTATACCAGAAAAATGATATCTTTATTCTATGAAAGAGAGGACATTGGCAGATGTGGTACTGCAGGTTTTTCCGGGTTTTTCTGCAGCTGAAAAAGCAAATGCGCCACTGAAATAAATCAAGTCGCCCCGGAGCGCCAATTAATGTTTGTTGTTGTTTCATAATTTCATAAACTATATTACTTTTTTTATAGGAAAAGTATCTTTTATATGTTGTATTGAAGAGAACTGGTAGAACTCAGCAAATATATTAATAAAATAAGTAAAAAATGTATGTTGAACGGTTTTATTAAAAAAAAAGATGATAATGATGTAGATAATGTACTAACAACTGAAAAATAATTCGGAGGGTCATTGCTAGCAGTATTACACCACTCTCCTCTCAGCAATCTACGGTATTGATCAGATAAAACAATTATAAAATCGTTGAGCGTAGTATTCACATATTTACTCAGGTTACGCTTCGCCATGTTATTTTCTTATTATTTTTGTCTGATTAATACCGTAGATTGCTGAGGCGAGTAGTGTAGTGATTGCTACCTAGGACCTTCCGAAAATATTAAAATCGTTGAGCGTAGTATTTACATACTTACTCAGATTACGCTACGCCTAATGATTTTATTATTATTTTATCTGATCAATACCGTAGATTGCTGAGGAGAGTTGTGTGATGACTGCTACCTATCACCTTTGGAATTATTTTTTAGTTTTCAGTACATCATCTACATCATTATTATCTTTTCTTTTCAATAAAATCGTTCAAAATATTTTTTTTTCACTCATTTTATTTTTAAGTTTTCATTTTCTAATTTCGTCACTCAATTCTTCTCATTCTGTTCAGTTCATTTAGTGCTTCAGTATCACAAGGTAATATGTAATCCGTCATTTTGTAGCTGCGACCTTCTTGAATTTGTATCTTTTTCAAAGTGTACTACTATTTTATTAGTCAAGCCCTGTCATTTGATACCTATATTGAGGTCGTTATAAAACAATATGTAATCCGCCATTTTGTAGCTGCGGCCATAATCAAGTAATTTGAGAATGGTCTAACAAACCGAAACCGGTCGAAACAAATCTAATAAACTCAGTAGAAATCAGACAAAAGTATTTTTTTATCCTATATTCAAAATTAATTTCTACAAAATGAATAGGTTATCAATCGAACAAACTATATATTTAATATAAATATCATATCTATCTCGGAAGTTACCACAAACATGAAAATTCACATATTTATGTTTTTATCATCTAGTCATCTAGTCTAATCAACATGTTCAAAAACATGAAAAATAGAGATAAAGGTCCTAAAAATATAAGCGATAGCTCATTCGATTCGGAATCATTCCTAGAAAAAGTTTTTGAAGGATTTTGGTGCAGGTAAAAAATTACAATTGTTATCAACAAAGTAAGATTTGAAAAAAATTGTATTTAGTTTTTCGTTAATAACTCAAAAAATATTAATATTTAAGCAATTTTGAAAAAAGCTCGTTAAAGAGGAGGAAATTTCCGATAAAATTCGAATCCTAAGTTATCTTGATTCAATTAGTTTCCATACGTTTTCTCTTGTGTCGCTACCACCTCAAAGGTTGTTACCCTCTTACGCCCATNAATTGCAATTTTTTACCTGCACCAAAATCCTTCAAAAACATTTTTCTAGAGGTGATTCCGAATCGAATAAGCTATCGCTCATATTTTTAGGACCTTTATCTCTATTTTTCATGTTTTTGAACTTGTTGATTAAACTAATCACCCAATTAACTAACTTGTGTGCGCCACTTTCGATAGAGAGGAAGTCACGCAGTCTATCGCAGGTCTTTTCCCGTAACCCGCACGCACACGAATCTAACAACTTTAGTACAATCTGTGTTGTAGATCGTAGATATATATCAGTTTGCTGAATCCATGTCTATGCTGATCCCAAATTCCATGGATTTTAGATAATATCACTTGATCATTTCAGTTTTCATCGAGATCAAGTATCAATTATTAATGTATGAAAATGGTAACACAATTCGCAAGTTACTAGGAAATTTATTGTTTATCACATTTAGATACCTTTCAAACATCAAACATCATCTAAAGACTTGAATACAATGTTTTTTACATAAAAGTATTTTGCATATTTTTAAGACAAAAAAAACAATTCATTTTGTTCTGATGAGTCTTTTCACCTATTATTTGGCATCTAAATAAGGTACACTACTCACTAACCATTATGTTTCATAGATTTTGGATATATAAATATTATAAGCACATGAATGACCTCGACCATTCATCCCCAAAAGATATAAATAGTTATTGATGGAAAACTTTTTTTAATGGGACACCCTGTATATTCCTGCATAATTCAATAGAGCCTGAAATTAACTTCAAAAAATGAAGCCACTTGATGTTTTGCTATAGTTATCTTTCAAATACAGAACTTTTAGGTTTTTTCATGTAGACTTTGAAAAGCACGCTTTGATCAAATAGGCTTTGGACGACGCGGCGATAAAACAGAAAGGAATTGTTCAGTTGTAGCTATCAAATCTTGAGAAAGCTTTTCACAGCAGTAATTGAAATACTCAATTTTAATAACAATTTATACTATATTTACTACTAATAACTGAAACTTCAACAATAATAATAATGATAAAGAACAAACAATGAAATATATTTCTTCGGACAAGAGGTGTTTGAAATGTCTACCAGCTTCTCCTACACATAGNGAAACGCCGATTTTAAAGGAATATGTCACATCTATATTTGATCAGTCATGTGCAGATAATTTCACAAACTACACCTAAACGATTTGATCTCCACAAACTTTATTGAAAAAATATATCACAACATGTTTCGCTAAACATGAGCTTTTTCAAAGTGTACACTGTGCAGTGCAGTGTGCAGATAAGTCTAGACTAGTTGACGGACGCGGTTCGTAATCATTCATTTCAGTGGAGTGTATACGAACGTTTTCGCATACATCTAAAATCAGAGCACTGTTATAAAAAGGAAATGAGAAAAGCAGTGATTCACAAGTACAACATCAATACAGTCAGTATACTTTCAAAGACTTCGAGCGGAATGGTAGTGAAAAGTTGAATATAGCGTAAAATATAGTTTATTTTCCATATCAGGGTACGACACCCAATTAAAGATGCAATTCCTAGCAGTACACTGACTTTTTCATCTGTTACAGAGTATCCGCTGAAAAAATCAAGCATATATAAAAGAAATACCAGAAAGGAATCGTCCAGACTACCCTTAAAAGTAGCCCGGCTCTGTTTTCTGGGAATCCTACTACCATGCGTGCTTCTCAGTGTGCCCCTGTACATGCGATACCGAGTCTACGGTCTTCAATTGTATCCTCTTGCAGTATCAGATATGAGAATGCTGGACAGCAAGGTTTCGACGACGTGGTGTCAGGTTGGTATAACAAATTGTCATTAACTTAGAGTAGACTTACAGATGCTCTGGAAATAACAAAGTATGACAAATAAATGAAATCAATAATAAGAGTTCCATTCCAGATGGTTCGAATTTACTTTGTTTAAATTACTTACCGCAACATTATATTGTTTTCATTGCGGAAATAATGTTTCGTTTTTCGGCTTCCTACTAGTTTTTGAAGAAAAATAAATCCAAACATACGTATTCTTTTTTGTTGATTACGAATCTGAAGTCAAAATTTAGTGCTCTGGGCTACTTTTGGAGATACATCTATTCAATATTGGAGACATCTATTTTTTCAGTAATTTACTTCCGAAAAAAACTCACAAAATAGCACCTTCTCGCGATCGCATGCTTCGATTCGTTGATCTGTTGAACTTTTGATAAAAAACTTTGACACTTACAATACTTCCTTACAAAATGTTTGAATTCCTCAAACCAATTACTTTCTGTTGATGAAACTTCGAGTTATTGGTTGTTTTGAATCATTTAGATTGAATGTTCAGTAGCCCTGGGTCCCTATGTCCAGCACTTGAGGACATTTCACCTCTAGCAACCTCATTTTTGAGTTGTCAAATGATTTCTGTACTCTCACGATATACAGGCCACCAGTTTAATAAAATAGGTGATATCAAATATAAAACATTTCGGTCCTTCGAGTCCAATATTCTTCTCTGGAAATCATAAGGAGTTTGAATAAACATCGTACTGAGTAAATTACCTTCAGTATTTTTTTGTAATCATTGCTCTGTCTCAATTTTTGCGTCAAGGTCAGACTATACCATTTTGCATCTGACTGTCCTTAGCATCAACTTTTTTATCAACTTTCTTGAGATACTTGTGATGCACTGTTTGGAACCTTCGGTTTGGTAATGAATTTTACTGATGTTTTTCCCTAACACCAAACCGTTATTTCAACACCTCGACACATGTTTCAAACAACATGCTATTAAAGACACATTTTATTCAAAGGTTACCAGTTTTTCGCTTCCATCCTAACACTATGACATCACAATGATATTGAAAGGACATTCAGGGAACCGCCAGTTCCTTGAAAAATCTCATGAAGAAGTGTTATTGTATCGAAGGGTGACCTTAAGAACGGATTGCATACACAGAATAACCTATAAGAAAATTTAGTCTTACCTGATTGTCCTTGGGTCCGGAGGTATTCATGTACTGTTGGAGTTGAAAACAGAGCACTTCTGTGTACAAGTGATGACAGCCATCGACAATTTCTCACAACGAAAGACAAGGGTTAAATGTTTCGACACTGAATCTAGTACGCCAGATACCTCGCTATCAGGAACGCCTTTATGCGCACACACACCGATTTTGGACGGCCAGTATAAAATCGGCCGATATTTTATTGGTAGCGGGTGCTTGCACACTCACCGGATTCTTATCGGTCACACAATCAGTTGCTTTGTTGTCGTAATTAGTACGCACTACCAAAACGAAGTTAATACGTAGTAACTACAATTTCACCGAGCATTCGAGACTGGAATGGTCGGTAAAAAACCGGTGAGTATGCAAGAGTGTATTTAGTCATGTACGCCACTACTTCCCGGTACTGCCGGCGATACAGTGGCAGTGGACGGCTGCTCACCGGTATTTTACCGGCGACGATCACCGGTCGGCTTGTGTGCCAGGTCCCGTTCCCACATGTGGTTCACTATTGGAATTTTGACGACCAGTACAAAGTCGGCCGTCCAAAATCGTTGTGTGTGCAACTAGCGTTAGCTGGCAAACTAACGGCAGAATGCGACGCAAGTATTGAAAAGACCTTCAGCAGACCGTCCTGGCAGACGGTCGAGAGCCTACCAAGACTTCCAGTACGTACTCTCATCATTGGGTCTCCTTACGGACTGAACGTTTCGAGATAGACATCTGCTCACTGAGGCGTTCAAGTGTATAGTAGTGGCCGGTGTCGAACGCTCAAACTGAAACTGCACACACACACTCAAGGTCATATGCTATGCGACGCGACGTTATTAGTGATAGAGAATCGGCTGTAATTTATGATAGAGAATCGGCTGTAATTTATGAGGTCATGTGACGTGCGACATAAGGTGATCTGATCGTCGCGTCTCCAGAAGTCGAATCATAGGCGGATGGTTAAAAGGGGATTTCAAGGTCATGACGTGACTCAAGGTCACATGACGGCATATGCAACTCAAGGATAAGTCATGGGCGGATAGTAGAGAAGGAGTTTCATAGTCTAATTTGGTGGGGTTATGCTGGTGACAGGGAGGTCCAGAACTATCATCAGCACCCTACTTCTGTTGTTGCAGAAGTCGATTCCCTACCGCTTTTGGCGAACCGGGTGATACACATAAATTTGGTGCTCCAATCATTCAAAAATAATTGAAGTGATTCTTCAACAAATCCAATTTCGCGCCTCTCATTAGATTTTTTGTTGGTCTGGGACTTCTGCATCGTGGCGCCCTGAGCTGATGCTTTGGTTATCTTATCCAGAAGTGGACACTGCTAAAGTTTTCTCTCAAACATATCATAATAACCGGATTCAATTTAATCTTGTTTCGTACTGTTTCACCTTTTTTCTGTATCCAAAAGATCACATAAACTTTCGGTTTTGGTAGGCAGGTTTGCTCATTATTGTCATTGCTGTAACTAGCGGTTCAATCTAGGAAATCTTTCTAATTTTCAGGGGTTTTTGCTAATCCGTTTTTTCTGAAGGGCCAGATTCATGTTCCCAGATAGCGCACAGTTTCCTCAAGATATACTAATTCTATTGTCCATTTGTAACTCAGGAATTTTCGTAAATAATCCCATAAATGTCCATAAGATATCATAACAGAGCTTTTGTAGCTCCTGGATCACTGGCTCATGCCGAGAATTATTTGATTATTTTTTTGACCAATAATTTAGTTACAAACTGACCCGAAATCTCATACTTTTATGTAAACTAAACATTGACCTACAATGTCTTAATTATCCTAAAGACTTTCGTTCTAGCGATTTGTACGGAACATGATATAAAATTTCGTGATTTGAAACATTACACGACTAATGCAACATGTTGGTACCGATAAAATTGAAATAAAATTTTTCCTTAGTAGGGTTTTGAAACAAAATTTTAGTATTGCTTAACGTCAAATTATTGGGTTTAATGAATGGATTTGTTTTATGTACATATTTTCGTACATTTATAATTCACAAATAAGTTTTGTTTAAGTACAATGTTATCCACACAAGACAAAGTGAAAATTGTTCTTTTATGTGAACAGAATGTGCCATATTCAGATGTTGTTTGCATTTTCAATCACCGGCATCCAGCAAGAAATATCCACTTTAGCAGGTACCGTGGGAAGGATATTGAAAAGATTGAAAGGAACTGGCTCTGTGGACAATCGTTTCAATAAACCACATAATCCAATAAAGTATAATGAAGAACAAGTCAATGTTTGTTTGAGCGTTGTTGAAAATGGAAAAACTAATATTAGGAGTATTAGTGAAGATACAGGGGTTGGCAGAGAAACTGTGAGAAGAATTTTGCACAAAAATAAATTCCATCCCTATAAGNACAGGACATTTTTGACAGGAAAAAAATTCACAGCAACTTTTTATATTATATATGGGTATGCGGTTTTCACCATTGAGTTTGTCACAAAATTCGACCCTGAGACACAGCTATCAGTTATCATCTATCTAGTTTGAAAAGAGGAGTTTCCCTTTAAAAAGCGTCCAATTTGGCCCACTCTACACACATAGACGCTCACTATGCATTATTTTCCTCATAATTATGTCCAGCATGCCGAAATAAAGTTAGTTACGAAATTACTATCAACCAGCCAACTTTGACACAGGACAATGATCGTCCTGTTCCAATAATGAAAAAAAAAAGTCAGATTTTTTTATATGTTAACGGGTCGAAATTGTGCCTTTCCGAGTCAGGATTGAAAAAGAAAAAAATGTCTTTTTTAATGTGATAATGAATTTTGTCAAAAATAAAACTTATCACGTCTCCTTCTAATAATATTTTGCTGAATTTTTTGAATACTTGGTATTTTGGCCATAATGAAAAATTAACCTTTCTTGAATTAGTGTTTGAAGAACGGAATGAATCTGATTGAGATGAAAATCATCTCAGTTGGAGTGTTTTCAGACAGATGTTTTTCGACAGACGTTTACCAGAGCCTTCTATGTATGTAGTTGGGAGAGAATAATATTTCGAAATTCATTTAGAAATATTCATTTTTTCATACGTGTGTATCTCTCCTCGATAGTGTTCACTTTTGACTTATCAGATAATGTAGGTCGCGTTATGAATTTCCATTTTCAAGGCTTATCAGCAAAGTCTCAAAATTCTTGTTTGCCATATTCTAATTGGGTTATTTTGAGACTGAAAAATATTACTACATCGAAAACTGTCACCAGCGTCGACTCTTTAGAAGGATAGATGTGTGGATGTTTCAGAGATATAGGCAAAGATGTAGTTGAAAAAACAATAATTTTGGTTGAGATAACTAAAGAATGACCGATGCAAAGATGAGGTTGATTTGGAAAGGATAATAGCTTCATCCTTATCAAATTCAGAAAAATTATCCGCTTTCAACTGTTTCAATGAATATTTTCCAAATCATAAAAAAATTGTTACCATGATGGGATTTATTTGGAAATTGATTTCCAATTGCCTAAGAAGAAATAAAAGAAGAACAGGTATACTATCGACAGAAGAATTCTTTGAATCTAGAAGACATCTCATAAAATGTGTATAGTTTGGAAGTTTTGATGGAGTTTATGATGAGAGGTTAATATTCCCATGTCCCTTCGTGAAAGGGAGTGGAAAACAATTCTTCAGAATTTTGTAATTCTGTTGTCCCACTTTCAAAACATATGTGAAGAATTAGCATGTTGAGCATTCTCAGGAAACAATTTTGGGTTCTTACAGAGAATAAAAACGATCCGAACTGTTTTAATGAAATGTGTTTTTTGTCAAGGTATGATTCGAAGAAATAAGAAACCTTTTCTGTTACTCAATCTTTTGAGTTGGTTTCAGCTATGTTTCCTCGGGCAATTAGAAGGTTTGTTGCAAAGAGAGGATGTCTTTTAGTTATATACTGTGACAAGGAAAGTGATTTTATTGAAGCACAACGCACACTTTGGAAATAAAACAAACACATGAAAAAACTGCAAGATTCATTGGATTTCTTGTAATTCTAAAGACAGAGACAGATTTTAACCAACAAAACGTGAAGATAAGTATCTGTATAATTTCATAGATCCTTTTTGGTGGTCAGAATGATCAATTATGACAAATTACTGATGGATATAACAGTTATCTTTGTGAAAAATACTTTGAAATTACTCAGAAACTTATCGAAGTGAACTAAAAAGTTTGCTTTTTCTACTCCTGAGAATTTTTATATTGTAGAAGGTATAAATAAAACACATTTCTCCGTCTCGTTTTCAGTTGGGAAAGCCAATCATTACTTTGTTTCTAAAGTCAATCCTTCCACCATTTGGACACCAGTAGTATACTTGGATAAAAAGCAGAGCTGAAAAATAATCTAACAGCAGACAAAACATCAGCTGAGCTGAACCATGAATGCGTTGTTAGACTCAAAATATCTTTGAATAACTACTTCAAGCATCATTGACCATGAACATATCTTCTTGAGGAAGAACTATCGATGACGAAAAAACTTGGCTTTTCGCCTTCGTCAGCCAGACAAAAATCTATTTCTACAATATAATTTTTGTTGAATTTTAAAATTCAGTCCAACACGACAATAAAATATTATTTTCTGTTTACGCTTTAGACGTCTTATATTTTTGTCTGATTGTACCAATATCAATTTTCAGAGACAACTAGTGAAAGTTAACGCTACTTTCAACGCATTTCTGATGTCAAACAACCCTCAAATTTTGGCCACGAAGAAGCCCCTTTCTATGATGAGGGAGTTGGATCTAGAGGACGATACCAAAGAGTACTGGGGTTTTTATCTTTTGAAGGGAACATCAGTGACTGTGTCTACATGTGTCAGGTATGTAATATCGGATGATTTTTATTACTACAGACCAATTTAAACAAGTTTATTGATCCTAAATGACACCTATCACCCATATATACAAATATATACAAAAACTCAACAGAGGTTATTGGATATTATTGAACGGATGAATTTGGTCGAACAATCATAATGTACACAAAATATTTTGGGGTCATTATTCTTTTGAATATAAAGTTAATACAAAGTGTTCCAACGAAAATTTGACTCTACTGTAGCTTGGCGTGTGTTACACGGTAATTTTTGTTTCCAGGGGAACCAATTCTGATATGGAACACGAGTTGAAGTTTCGGATACGAATCCGAAAATTCAACTCGTTGCGGGAAGCAGCTATTCTTCATATTTTTTAGAAGTGTAGGTCTGTAGGAATCAATATGAAACCGATATTATTTTTTCTCATGAATGAGAATCCAAAAATTGGGTAAAATACAGTCGAAAAGTTGGATTATTTATATTTTCGACAAACAATTCATAAAAAATGTAAAAGACATTGTAGAATACTTAGATGTAGCAGTAACTGATGAAGCTACTTGATAGCGAAACGAGTTTCGAATAAAATTCATTGTGGAAATTCTACAATTATCATCATGGACAATTGAAAGACATCTGCTTTACGGTAGGGCGATGTCAACTCACCTGAAGGACTATAAATCATCATTGAAATGAATAAAATCATCACAAATATGTCACTGATGTCATCGGATGAAAAATTTTAAAAGTCGCAGCTGTCAAATTCATTCCAAATATTGTCTAATTATTTGATCAACAAATATTCCGCACCACTCATTAATTTGAATTAATGCTCATCCCGATATTCGACTAACAAAACTAAAATTTTCTCCACTCATCACTTGACTATACGGCTGATCAAGATGGTAACCACTTTATCCTGCCAGACCATAAAGACTACCTTGAGTCAAAGCCCACTTGAGTTCGGAAAGGCAAAATTTAGGTTATTTGATAAACCGAGGTCTTAAATGTTCTTGAAGAGTACCACATCTATTGGCTTATCCTTGTGTAGTGTAAAAACGTAAATGGGTGAAACGGTGTTCACTGATCGAGAGTACGCAATTTTGTTCGAGATTTTCGAAAAAATATTTCAAGATATGGTCTTGGAGTTCGAAACAAAATATCCAGTCATCAAAATAATTCATTTTTGAAACATCAAATAAAGTTGTTTACGTGTTTCGTACGGTAGCACAATTGATTAAAATAGCGAAATGTATTTTCACTAAAATAAACACGAAATCTTTTAGTTGACACAATTGCAAGGGTCTCTAGTTCGTGAGAATGGTAAAATGTTTCATCCTCAGTAGTCATTCGACTGTAGTACTTTAGTGGTTTGAAATAGTCCTCATGTTTTTGTAATGAAATACTAATTACTCCTTTACTACTGGCCTCCGTATGCAACTCTGTTTCAAAATTTGTATTATAAATATAAAGTAATCGTTTAGACATGAGACATTTCTTGATTTCATTGAAGTCTTCTTCCGAAGTCAATTTCTATGAGTGCATGGTTTTTTATAAATTGACCCAAGAATTGTCGTGATTTGTGAAGATTTTTAGGAAAAGGAAATTCTGAAACAGCTGTTATTTTGTTCTGGCTTGGATGTATATCCATTGCCGGCTATTGCGTAACCAAGAACTATTGCTGTATTCAGTTTCAAGTAAAAATTTTTCAATATTTTGAATACATTTCTCAATGAATGAAGACCTCTTACGATTGTTTTTGAAGGTATCAAAAGATCGTCTGAATACATAGTAATATTTTCATAGCACACTTTGCTCAAAAATTTTCGAAAAAGTTCTTCAGGTGTTTTGAAGATTACTGATTTTGCGGAACCTTGATATTCCTGCGGAAGTTCATCTATGATGCAGAAATTTGCGTTCAGATCAATAAAACGTTTTCAATAAAACACATTTGGAGTTATAGTAGTGCAACATCGTTTCAGTTTTCTGTTTTTTTTTATATCCAACATCTGCTTCAAATTATCGACGAAGTTCTCATGCGATGGAAAGGCACTCAACAATTGAGTTTTTTGCTTTTTCCCACGACTTATTATAGTCTCTAAGACTATTATACAAGAGTTTGGCAATTCCTGAAAGCTTTTTTTGCATGAAATAATAATATGAATTCGTAAAATAGCACCGGCGATAAATGGATGGGAGTTGTTCGATTTTGTTCTGCTAATTCTTTGAATTTATATCACCGACTTTAGGGTCAAATGTGGGCACAATATTTTTCACTGCGTGATTTTGCCGTGCCTCTTTCCATATGATTTTGGTTATAGCGGCGACGTCGCGTCGCTTCGGCGAGGTCATTATCACTTCCGCAATCATTCTCGTTTTCCAGTGCAATGACTCAACATACGAATTATGAAAATGAAAAAATATCACTACTTCTGAAATGTAAAGACGTAAATGAATGAAACGGTGTTCACTGTTCGACAGCAAACTTTATTTTGTCTTCAAAATAGTTTTTCAACAATTCGTTCCATTGCTCAGCGTTCACACAATATTCAAAACATTAAGGAACAGAAACGTATGTATTGGTGACAGGGTTGTAGTCCTCGTTCAATGTAATCAAATTCATCGGCCATGCCGGCAGTTGCTTTGAGAAGGAATACTCCAGTTCAAGCTCACACATGGTCCCGCACCATGCAGAGAAGGGGATACAAACTCCTGATGACATTACCGGCTCAAACAGCATTTTTTTTTGTTGCTTTTCGGGTTTAACCGTGGTCTTGGTTATAATCTCCCAACGTTTCGACTGCAACTGCGGCAGTCATCTTCAGTGGCGTGGTGGAAATACTATTCTTGAAGTGTCAACAACATTTCAGCCGTGTCATTCATAATGCTGATTTGATTGACTTGGCTTCATTTTGGCAGTTTTAAATGCTGTGTGTCAGATCTTTGGTAGATACGTTCTCTCTTCTTTTCTGTTGAAATTTTCTTGGTGTTTGTGTATTTATATGACTTCTAAATACATTCTTGTTGAATAATGATTCTATGTTATTAGCCTCTCGGTATTATCAAACAGCATATTGTGTCACCCGTCGGACAGTGAATGTTCAGCGACCGCAGACTTCTCGGTCTGTCCCAATCGGTAACTCCGTTTGTGCTCGACTAGACAGGCACCAATGCTTTTTTTTATCTGACCGATATACTGTAACATGGCATTGCTGATTTGAGTAGATATCTGCTGTCTTTAGCTGATCTCAGATCAGGAACATTTTGGGAAGACTAAGACGTACGTCCCAGAATCCACTGACTTCACCAAACATTTGAAAGTTATCACCTTGGAGCCAAACGACATTCTAGTTAGCTTCGATATTGTTTCCTTATTCACAAATGTACCACTCGATCAATCCCTCAGCTACACAGAGGAGATCTTTCTACAAGATATCAACTTATTTCGACATTCACTAACGACAACTTATTTCCAATGGAATAAAACATTTTATGAACAAGTTGATGGAGTCGCCATGGGCAGTCCACTTAACTTAGTAGTGGCGAATTCCTACATGGAAAAATTTGAAGAAAGAGTCATTCAAACCTCAGAAAAACGACAGAAGCAATGGTTGAGGTATGTAGATGAAACGTTCGTTGTTTGGGAGCATGGAAAAGAAGAACTTCAGAACTTCCTAAATCATCTGAATAGCTTTCATCCAAAAATCCAGTTCACCATGGAATTAGAAGAAAACCTCCAAATCCCATTTCTTGATGTTTCAGTCATCAAGAAAGCTGATCAACTAGGCCATAAGGTGTACAGGAAAAAAACACACAGATCGATACCTACTTAATGGTTCCAACCATCATCCAAAACAGAAACTAACCGTCATCAACATTCTAGTGAACAGAGCTTTGAGAATATGTGAAAAAAAGTACGTCGACGACAAAATAAAACACCTAGCTTAGGTTAGTTTAGGTCCAAAGTGAGTGGATCTATTCGACTCTCTACCGCAACCCGCAAGGATTGCGGACTCCCAGTGACCTGTCCTGTCTCCCAGTGACCTGTCCACCTTCCTGGAAAATACAGGATAGACGATGACCTAGGAGGACAACTCCTCGGGAGGATGTACAATGGGTCACATGTGGCCTAAGTGCTGTGGGCTTACACTTACCCTCCCTACTCTACAGATACAGAGAACCCGCAAGGGTTTTTTGTGGCTCACACATATTCACACTCGACCAAATAAACCCAGCTTCTTAACGAACCCGAATAGTTTGTATGGTGAGTGGTCTTTCAGGTCAGATGGTAAGAGTACGGTTCTGAAGAACTTTTAAAATCTGATTCGGTCCCCAACGGGACAAGCACAAAGTATGTGCTTTGCTGTTTCATCATTTTCCAAACAGAGGCGACACACAATGTCTTCCGACAGCCCGAGTCTGTGCATATGATGATTCAAACGACAGTGACCTGTAAGAAGGCCTGTTAGACATCGTGGTTCATCCCTACTGTAGTCCAACAACTGTTTGGTATCAAGCTTCGAAAGATGAATAAACGCCAATCCTGGAAGATTCTGCCATGAGCCCATTAATCTTCCGCAGTTGTAGTCGAAATGTTTAGAGATTATAACCGAAGAAACACGAGATCCTGTTCGGAAACACCGAGAGGCTAGTAACATAGGATCATTATTCAACAAGAATGTATTTAGAAGCCATAGAAGTACACAAACACCAAGAAAACTTCAACAAAAAAGAAGAAAGGACGTATCTACCAAAGATCTGGCATACATCATTGAAAAACGCCAAAATGAAGCCAAGTCAATCAAATCGCGCGGATAGTACGTGCAAACCCACCATTAGAGAAAGTGCGCGAAAAATCAGCATTTTAAATGACATGCCAGAAATAGTAGCTTCAGTTTCTGTTAACACGTCAAGAAGAGTACCTTAACCACGCCACTGAAGATAACTGCCGCAGTTGCAGTCGAAAAGTTTGGAGAATAAAACCAAAGAAGACCACGGCAAAACCCGGAAACCAACCAATACATTGACTCCAGCCGTGAAAGCCTACATTTCTATAGCACCATTTTATTTTGTAGACACTCTAAATTTGGAAGTCCGTAGCTTCCTAGTTCACGTGTAATGAATAGGGGTAAATAATTTTTGGAGTGAAGTTTGCCGATGTGAGCATTTTTCAATGTCATTACCTCTTGGTAATGGTACAGGAATGGTACAAAATGGTACAGGATGCTTTCGTCTAAGAACTGCATATTCTCTTCATAATTCCCAATTCGTTTATCTCGAGAAATATTTTCAATAAATGAATCGTGTTTTATAGGTGGCCTGGAGCATCTCTAATAGTAATCCGTGGCCACAAGCATCTCCACGAATGTGCCTACATAGGTGACGACTCCTCCGAAGAGCTGGACGAGCTCATGGAGGCGGTACGCGAAGGCGTCTACGTCGACATCCATGAAAACCGACCTCCCAATAGCACGAAATCAGACAACGACGAAGCTCCGGCCAACGACCCGGAGTTGATGAGGCGCCACCGACCGGAAGTGGAATTCCTAAGCCCGATCCACCGGAACGCGAGCAGGTCCCACCACCTGGCCTATGCAGAGGATAATAGTGAGATCTCCGACACCAAGGACCTGAAACAGATCCTAGACGCCCTTCACGTCAAATCAGCGACGTACAGGAAAAAACTTTCGGGAAAGTCCCACACGCACAGGAACTCCACCATAGCCAAGGGCGAAAGCCAGAATATGCACATCGAGGCTCCGGAGCCCAATAATTCATCGCAGGAAATCCTCAGCGACATCTTGCGAAGGCTGAAGGCCTTGGGTCCCAAAGGGCCAAAGATTCTGCAGAAGGTAAACGTAGAGTTTGATCATATAGGCGATTCCAAACAGGAAGCTATCGATATGAGGGCTCGCCACTATTCGAAGCCAAGCGTTAATTTCGGAGACTACATAGATCAGGCTCGGAGAAGAAAAAGGGATTTGATTTTATCTACGGCAATGGGGATGAACGAGAACGATGAAGAGAATGATCATGCAATGGAGGAGGTAGGTAGTGTTTTGTGTTGCAAATAAGAACACCAATTTCATTAGATTGTATTTATTTCAGTTCTCAGTTGAAACACGTGAAAAAATGAATAAATGTTGCCATAAATGAATTCCAACAATGCTAATGCGTTTACTACGTTTGTATACAGTGTGTAAAAGCCAAATGGAATAAATTCATTATTTCGGTTACTCTACATAATTAAAGAAAAATCCCGAACCACGTCGAATGTAAATTATAATTTGACATTCTTCAACGTAAAAATTCTCTACCTTCAACCCCCTTCGAATGACAGGTGCATCCCCCAATTTTTTAAATAGGAAGTATAGGTTTGTGATATATCGTTTGAAAGGTCTCTTCATTGTCTATCCAAAAATGTTATCGCCTTCAAGTTTATTGCAATAAATTGAGATCATGTGGTTACCGAAATTAGATAAAATGCATTCAAAAACTAAAATGTAATGCAAAACGTAATGAAATGTAGAATACGAAAAAGAATTGAAGGGGTTATATTTTTTTGTATCAAGATGGAGTAGTAGAAAGCCAAAAACTTTCTTTCTCATGAAAAAAAAAACTATTGATGTTCGAGTAGATGTTCAAAATATTCACCTCGAACGTCTTGGCAACATCCTAATCTCAAATAAAACTGTCTTCTAACATTATTTAACATATCACGCGTGACCGACCTAATCGAAACGTTATTCGTTCTTTCAAGTCACTCAAATCTGAAGTTTCAGTTTTGCACACATTGCTCTTTACATATCCCCATAAAAAGAAATCTAATGATGAAAGATCAGGTGATCGCACTGACCATTCAATCGATCCTCGTCTCCCTATCCACCGATTCGGAAATGTTGTATCGAGGTATTGCTGGACATTCTGCTGAAACCATATCGTATTCACTGGAACTTGAGGGTTTCCTGGATTAGGATATGACTTTGCTAAACTTGGAATGACATCATTTTGAAGTAGTGCCAAATAATTATTGCCATTCAAGTTGCCCACATTGAAGAAGGGATGAATGATATAGTTTCCCTGCCCAAACATTAACCTTTTGAGGCGTGTATTCTGCTCATATCCAGTGAGGATTTTCCGTTTACCAGTAGCGGCAATTTTGCCGATTACCATGACCGTTAAGACACAAAGTAGCGCCTTTTAATTGGATGATATTGTTATCCAACATGCCCATCATTTGCTCACAAAAATAAGTTCTTCCATCAAATTCGTCCTCCATGAGCTGTTCGGGTTTTATCTCCGTAACCAATCATTTGTGAAACTGTTATTTTATGCATTTCCTTCAATCTAACGAACATTAAACTTAAATTCAAATACTGACAACTAATGTTGTAACATACAAAACAAGTTGACAAGGCGTTTTAAACTAACGTTACCAAGAAAATTATTTATAGTTTTTAAAGGATACCATCTAAAAAGAACATTAATATGGTTTTTGCTCACTTTCTTATTATCAATATCTCAATATGAAATGAGTTTTGTGTATATTGCAATAAGTTTTGAGTGTATTTTATCGAATTTCAGTTACCACTTGATTTTAATTTATTTTGTCTTAAATGTTGCAACAAAATTGAAAGCGATAACATTTTTACCCAAACTATAATGTCATCAATATAGAGTTTGACTATATATAAAAATGTTGAATCGCCCATGAAAAACTTCATAAGCAGATTGAATTTCGCACGGCATTCTCAAGAAGCACTAACGTCCAAATAGTGTACCGAAAGTGCATAATTTCGCACTGTCTTCATTCATACTGATCTGCGAGAATCAACTATTGATATTATGATGGTTCTCAATATCAATTCATTCAGTTACATCTACGCGTCTAACTAGATTTATTTTCTGGCTTGCAGCAATTCCCAATATGCATTGCTGGGTGTTTTGCACGACAAAAATCTAAGATACAATTCTTATGTTAACAATTGAGGTAACATTTTCCTTTTGTCACCACTGTTTCCGGTTTTCCGTCAAATCACCGGATAGATTTATAGGTGCAATTCTTTGTAACCACCCATCTTTATCGCACTCCTAAATTTACACTCAATTGCCAAATATGACTTCAATCAGCATTTGATTGAACTTCGCCATGTTTCGTGATGTGAATAAGAACGGCAATTTGAAAAGCCTGTGTTCATTTTAGATCCCAGTCGATACACATAAGTAGTTGACTGATGCCGGTACTGGACCTCCTCATATTGACATGATGCAACATGTGACCTTCAATTGGCCTCTGATAACGAATTCGAATCATGATCTCGAATATTGAAGTTTGACCTTCATAGAAGTGGGGGTAGAGGGGTTTGCATTTGAAAAAAGTATGGTGATCAGATGGTTGCCGTGGAACATTCAATCAGAACGAGGACACAGTGGTGCAAGGATGTATTGATGTGCTGTTGTTGACCCTTCCATAGCGAGGTGTGCAGTGTACTCGATTCGAGACACTTATGGTTCGTAGTGAAGAGTTGTCGCCAGCGGTTTCACTGTGCTCATGATACACGGATATCTCTGTATTCAAAGTGGAGTGGACTTTTTCTTATGGGTTATTCCGTATATGTGATCGTTTACTAGGGTCATACCTTCACACATACCCTCCAATATTTTCAAAGTGTATGACAACCGCACTTTTCTTGAGGGAATTATGAATTCAACAAGTGACCCACTGCAACATAGGTGTGAATAGATAATTTACCGTCCTTGAGATGAATTTGAAGGATTTGTTGAAGCTCAGTAGACCCGAACCGTCATTCACACACTACTTTCGACATGTCATCGCCTCATTTGCCTGTGAAAGATGTAACCAACCGTATATCCGCAATTTGCCCGATTCCTCTAATAAGGAACAGCATATGCAGGAAGCATCAATCCTTCTGTTATAACTTCCACTCACGATTGTTACTGAAGATAATAGTTTCACTGACATGTTGAAGTTATATTTTTACTCATACAAGCTAATAGGCCTGATGTAGTCATTATTGACCATTAGAGCAAGATATCTGTCATCGAATATCCGAATGCATCGGGGATTCGAGGGATAGAGCCTGACCAGGGGAAACTTAAGTTGAAAAAAAATATGTCTCTATTCATTAAAATAAGAAATACAGATAGGCAGAGTTCAGCTATGAGAGCTGCTTTCAAACCCAATTTCGATTGGTATGTTTTTTAATTTTTTATATTGTTCTGATATCAAAAATTCAAGTAAATACAATAAACAAGTGAAGTCGAGAAAAAACACATAATGTGTGGAATTGCCCAAATCGTTTTGCATATCCCGAGCCATAATATCACTGTTGTGTGAGAAACATGTCTTTTAAGATCTTCTTGTAGTTTCTCATTGAACTCTCTGCAACTCTGTAGGGATGGTGTCATACACTTTGCAGCATTGTAGGGGAAACTTCGAGTGAACATTGTTGTGGTATGCTTGATATTGAGTAACATATGCTCATTATGAGAAGTGCTACTGTGTGATTGTGCTACCAGCCCTTCACGTAACTAAGGCTGAGATCACGAAACAATAATTCTGTGCGTGAAAGTAAGCAACTGGATTTCTTTTAGATACTTGAGTGATAGCCAGCCAGAATCTTGAAAGGATGGAGTTGTGTGAACATAGTTTCAGATACCGTAGGAAAATCAGACACAACTATTTTGTATACCTTCGTTGGAGTCGCGTTACATCTGATTGTTGCAGGGCGGATCCGTAGATACAATCGCAGTAAGCTAATCTTGAAAATATAAGTGTTTCACAGAGACTCAACTTCAGACTTTTTGATAATACGTGTTTACTTATATAAAGTTACGTTAATACATTGAATGACATTTTACACAGATGACTTCCATGCTTTGTGAATCTCAAGTTTGTATCTAACCACAAGCCCACACTTTCACATTCATTCCTAAAAGAAATTATGTGATTGTTGACACAATTCGACAATCATTCACACACAATATTTCTTTTACTTTCGGAACTAAATAACATGACCTGGGATTTCTTTGGATTGATAGCTAGATTTTATGCATAAGATACGCCGTATAGAGTTTGAGGTTTCTGTTAATATTTTCATTAGCGAGTAGAATATCTTTGAAGCTGAATGAACTATACAATTGGGTGTCATCGGCGTAGTGGTGGATTTGACCAAAACTAACAAATTCATGAAAGTCACTTATATAAATTGTAAAAAGGAGTGGTCTCAGAACTGAACCTTGTGGTACACTAATAATTTTTTTTTAATTGTTGTTGATTGGTTACCATCAAGGTGAGTCGATTGGGTCCTTTCGGAAAGATAACTATTCAAAAGTGACATTGCATTATGGGTGGCACCAAAGCACTTAAGTTTTATGCACAATACATGTAATTTCCTTACAAACTTTATTTTTCAAGAAAATACCAAATTATACTTTTTGACGTCTATTGATCTTTTTTGATAATCAACAACAACTTTTTTCATAAACATATCTCATTCATAGCTAACTAAATGGAACAAAAAAATATATACTGAATGATAAACAAATAAACAAAATATATAATCTGTAACATTATAGAAGGATCCAAAGTATTAAATGGATAGAGAATTATGTGAAATTTCTTTCGTCAAGTGATTTGAATATGTCGTCAGTGACGAGACTCAGAGCCGTTGTAGTGCTATATAGAGGATCAAATCCAGACTGAACGGAGGTAATAAGACGTAACTGAGGAATCATCACATTTTGCCAATGGCTTAACTTTGACATGTTTCCATTGGAAGTGAAATTCACTAGTCTCAATAGCATAGTTGAAAATATATGTAATGTATTCCAATAAATAGGGAAAATGTAAATGCCGCATACGGATTGTGTTTCGCATAAAACTATTTGACTCAGTTCTTTTAATTGGTATATAATTGAAATGTTCGGTCAGATCATTTTGATTTTTTGAAAACGGGAAAAAAACTATAGTTTTGTTATATCGAAGTATTTCGAAGGGTTTGAGGGTATTCCATGTATCCTGAGT